TGGATGTACATTTCAGTCAGAGTTTGAGGGATTTCTGCACTCAGATCTTCTTCCAGGAGCTTCTGAAGCACAGTGGATGAGATCCAGCAGAAGACAGGGATGTGGCACATGATGTGGAGGCTTCTTGCTCTTCTGATGTGTGAGATGATTCTGCTGGCTTGATGCTGGTCACTGATTCTCTTCCTGAAATATTCCTCCTTCTGAGGCTCAGTGAATCCCTGAATTTCTGTCAGACGGTTGATGTATTTGGAGGGGATCTGATTGGCTGCTGCTGGTCTGGAGGTGATCCAGATGAGAGCAGAGGGAAGCAGCTCTCCTCTGATGAGGTTTGACATCAACACACCCACTGTTGAAGACTCATTCCCATCACAAACTTTATTATCATCTGAAAACATCAGTGTAATTCTGCTTTCATCCAGACCATCAAAGATGAACACAACCTTACACTCCTCATAAATCTTAGAGTCCAGATCTTGAAGTTCAGGATGAAAGTCCAGCAGAAGTCTGTGAAGACTGTACTGATGATCTCGGATCAAATTCAGCTCTCGAAATGGAAGCACAAACATGAAATCTACATCCTGATTGGCTTTTCCCTCGGTCCAGTCCAGAATGAACTTCTGCACAGAGACGGTTTTTCCAATACCAGCGATGCCTTTAGTAAGAACAGTTTTGATTTTGTGTTTCTCCTCACATCCTGGTTCATGTAAGGGTTTAAAGATGTCATTGCAGTAGATTGGAGTGTGTTGTGTTCTGGGTGTTTTCTCCATCTGTAAAACTTCATGTTCTTCATTTACTGTTTCACTCTCTCCCTCTATGATGTAGAGCTGTGTGTAGATCCTGTTCAGGAGGGTTTGATTCCCTTCTAGTTTGATTCCCTCAGATAAGCTCTCATACCTGTTCTTCATGCTGGTTTGGTGCTGGTCTTTGACACTCTGCAGGGCTGTTTTGCTGTTGTTCTTCCTGAAGACATTCTGACAGTAGGAGACAAAGCGAGTCAGAAAGGGCATCACTGATCGGCTCACATTTCCTCTTGTCAATCTGCAGAAACAGTGAGATGAACAGAAAAACTGTGAAAAGCATAAGAGTTTCTCTGCTCCAGAATGTCTCTCTCTCTCTCTCTCTCTCTGTCTCTCTCTCTCTGTGTGTGTGCATGCAACAGTGAAGGCAGCATATTATTTTAGAATGGTGAAAATCAGAATATAATTATGCAAAATGAACAGGACTGAATGTATTTTAATTTGAAGGGAAACTTGGTAAAGCCAAAATGTGAATTTTGAGGTTAACTTTAAATATGTTTTTTAATGTCTTCAATAACAAATGTAAGAAACAGTGAGATGAACAGAAAAACTGTGAAAAGCATAAGAGTTTCTGTGCTCCAGAATGTCTCTCTCTCTCTCTCTCTCTCTCTCTCTCTGTCTCTCTCTCTCTCTCTGTGTGTGCATGCAACAGTGAAGGCAGCATATTATTTTAGAATGGTGAAAATCAGAATATAATTATGCAAAATGAACAGGACTGAATGTATTTTAATTTGAAGGGAAACTTGGTAAAGCCAAAATGTGAATTTTGAGGTTAACTTTAAATATGTTTTTTAATGTCTTCAATAACAAATGTAAGCATTAGAAATTATCCCAAAGCTCTCCAAAGTCCTTTAAACAGGTGCTTATGCCAGTGTTTTGAGGCTTGGGCATGATGATACTACCGTAGTACTGGTATACTGTATAGTACCTTCCTACACAGTGTAGTTGAATGATGCACTGCAGACATCTGAGAAACATTTGGATAATGGACATATAATGCAGAACATAGTTTACCCATGTAGGACATGTTCCTGGGTCCTTGTTTATCCATTTTTATACTCACTCAGTGTCAGAGGTCACTGCTCCATCACTGAGAAGAGGAGGGATTCCCATGGATCCTCCACTCTTCATAGACACACAGCTGGGATCTGGAGATTCTGCTTTATGCATGTCAACATCATCCTTCTTTTCTCTCTTCACATTGCGACTCATTTCAGAGGCAGAGCTGTAGAAACCAAGAGGAAATAGAAGACAAACACTAAAATAATACTCTTGGATGTGCTTTTTAAATTTCTGTTTCTAAGTGAATGCTAATTCTAATGCAATCCTTTCCTGTTTGGTGACAGACCACTTACAAACATAAAACTATACGTAATTTCTACTTAATAAATAGTATATTCTTTTGTTGAAGCCATCAGCATACAATATTTCAACTTATTTTAAAAAGTTGTGTTTAACAGTAGATTTCATGGTGGGAAAACTACACACCAAGATCTCTTTAGCTCTGCCAACTTCCACGAAGCACTTCAAATGACAAAATTGAGCCTGTCTCCATACACTCCTCAAAATATTTAGGTAAATATGTTTGTCTTTTTTGTCCAATTTTCTTTTTTTTCTTTCTTTTTTTCCTTCAAATAAAAGTTTGTAATGTTGTGATTCATATTGTATGGGAAACATTTGTGGAAAAAATATATTTTCAGAACCAACAATGCTGAAAAATTAGGTGAGCACTAATGCACTCTATAAAGCCTAACTGCTCCAGCTCCTTAGTATCTGAGCAATATTAGAAGCTTGTTTGAAGTAATTTTAGAATCCCTGATTATGTTTCACTACAGCAGTTAAATCATGTTTATACTCACTCAGGGGCAGAGGTCACTGTGCCATCATTGAGAAGAGGAGGTATTCCCATAGATGCGTTACTCTTCATAGACACACTGCTGGGTTCTGGAGATGTAGCCTCCTCCTCTTTCTTCACATAGAGACTCATTTCACAGGCAGTGCTGTGGAAAGACAGACAAAAACAGGCAACTGAATTTCCTTATTTAGACAAAAGAGGAGGAATAATGAAATCTTCATGAATTCTCATGTCATACACTATTAAAGTATACAATGAAACAAAGCTTTAGATGAATAATCACCAGTCTAAAGCTGTTCAACTCAACTCCCAGTTCAGAACATTCAGAAATTATTCCTAAAATCAGAGTAAGAAAAACTCTCAGCAGACTATGCTTAAGCATCTGAAAATACTCTTAAATTACTGTTCACATTGATTTATTCATGAGAATCAATACAGAAATGTGTTTGTTCAAACCTACCTCTGTTTCAACAGTGAAGCACATCAAAACACACTTCATTCAGTTCATAAATCCATTCTGTCTCTGAATAGCAGCATTAAACCGATCTGTCCTCAAACTGATTTTTCACAAAAAGCTTTTCTCGCTTGATGTTTTTTGTGTTCTTCCTTTCACAAAATGGAGTGTGTTGAAATACTTTCACTTTTAAAACAGTTTCACTTTCGACAGTGTTACATGGCCAGTGAAAGAAGAGAATCCTGAACAATTGTTAAAGGAATATTCTGGATTTAATACAATTAAGCTCTATTTAAGTGCAGTTTGCTGTCGATTAACACAAAAAATAAATATTGTATCATCCTTAATTTTGTACAAACTTCCCAAAAGCATGTTTAAAATAATGCTTTCACTTTACCTGTACTAAGATGCCAACAGACCAGCTCAAACCAGAAGAAACCGCCACAGACAACATGGGCGAATCCTACTATGTGGATGGTAGGCTATGTCAATTGAACCTGTGGGGATAAAAACTCCTCAAAAGACAGAACTAATTTGCACAGTGCACAGTGGAGAGGAATTAAGCTTATCAAAAAACACCAAGCTCATTGCTTATGGAGGTGCGGAGATACCCACAGCAGGCTTTGTTACTTTCACCTGCCACTCATCTGAAAGGGTTTATAACCTCTCATTCTACGTGGTAAAGAGAAATGTGCAACCATTGATAGGACTACCGGACTCTTTACAAATGAAGCTGGTCTCATTTAACAGCTGTCAGATGAAGATTCAAGTTTCACAAGCCAGATTTATTCAGAATAGTCAGCCCTTTTCAAGGATGAGATTGGTAAACTTCCAGTAACATATGCAATGAAACTGGACCCAGCAGTGCACCCAGTTGTAAAACCTGCACGCAAAATCCCGTCAGCCATGCACGGCAAGGTCAGAATTACAAAGAATGGTCAGTATAGGTGTTTTTATTCCAGTCTCGGAGTCCACTGAATGGGTATTATCAATGGTAGCAACGCACAAAAATAATTTAAAGGAGATAAGAAAATGCATCGACCCAAGAGACCTTAATAAAGCCCTCCTACGTCCACATAATCCGATGTCTAACTCCTCTGTCTTTTCTGTTTTGGATGCGAAAACTTCCTTCTGGAAAATTTCTCTTGATAAAAAATCATCAATGCTGAAGATGGTCAACTCCCTATTTGGAAGATTCCGATTTATAAGCAAGCCATTCGGAATCAGCACAGCGAGTGAGGTGTTCCAAACGGCCATGGAGCAAATATTTGCAGGTTATCCATGTGCTGTTATAGTGGATGACATCCTCGTGGGAGGAAAGGATGTGAAAGAACACAACGAAAATCTCAAGAAAGTTCTGGATTGTGCATGAAAAGTTAACCTCAGAATTAACCCCCTCAAATGCAAGTTTCGACTGTCAGAGGTATGCTATGTGGGACATGTGTTCACAAGTAAAGAACTAAAACCAGACCCTTCAAAGATTATAGGAGACATATTATGCCCCTTTTTACAATATGTAATATAACTCTCTGGTGTCCCCAGAATGTGTCTGTGAAGTTTCAACTCGTTTCAACTTGAAAATGCCTATTATGAGTGGAAGCAGAAACACGCTGTTTTTCGTGCCTGTCTCTTTAAATGCAAATGAGCTGTTTCAAATGCAAATGCAAGTTTACGTTAAAAACACACTAGTTACAAAAACAGTTGGTTATGTCTGTGAAGGTAAACAGCTGGGAAATAAATTGCATGTTTATTTTAGATCTGTGTGGCAGCAGCAATATACAGTAAATAAATCAATAAATCCACTGCTCTGTTGTCTCCTCTGAGGCTGGGACTGTAAATAGTGTTCTGTGCTCGTCTGTGCAGCCAATGACAGAACAGTTAGCATGTTTTGCTCAAACTTTCGCCATGGCGTTAGAACTGGTTCACCGCTGTCGCTTGATATTAATATTATAAAGAGATCCCTTTGCCACGTCACCAAGAGAGTGAAATCTGACACGCTCGTTTTTTCAGACACTTGCAGAAAAAGGCTTACCAAAACAAAGTTACTGGGTTAATCTTTTTCATGTTTCCTTGGTTGGTAGATACACCGGAGACCTGATTATAGCACTTAAATCCTGGAAAAGTCATGATATGTCACCTTTAAGGCAATCTCAGAGATGGATGTGCCAGAAAACGTAACAGCCCTACAATGCTTTCTAGAGATGGTTAGCTATTTTGGAAAATTCATTCCAAGTTTCAGCGACCTATCAGCACCCTTACGAGAGCTGACTCACAAAGAAGTTGAATGGTGCTGGCTTGAACATCATCAAGACGCATTCATCAAGCTGAAAGAGTGCATCACATCGCCAACACTGAGATATTACAATGTCCAAAAGCCTGTCACACTGACGTGACGCTTCACAGTTTGGATTTGGTGCGGCATGCCTTCAAGAGAACGCTCCTATAGCATATGACTCACGTACCCTGAGACAGACTGAGACACAATATGCTCAAATATGCTCGCAGTTGTGTTTGCATGTGCTAAGTTTCACGATACACAGAAAGAAAATTCTCATTGAAACAGATCATCAGCCATTGGTGGCACTTCTCAACAAGCCACTGCACATGATACCAGCACGATTACAACGAATGATGTTGAGGCTCCAGAAGTATGATTTTGTGATATGTTACAAAAAAGGAAAACAAAGGTATCTGGTTTTTACAAAAGTATCTGGAAAGGTATACTTTCACATGCCCCCATGAAGAACACAGAAGTGCAAGCCAGTGAAAAGACTGATTTTGAGGTAATGTCTGTAGAACACATCTCATCATCAAGGCTTGTCGAGTTAAAAGAGCACACAGCCACAGATCCAACACTGCAGCAGCTTTGCAGAATAATACACCAGGGCTGGCCATACCTTTATTTATATAGCACTTTTAACAAAACAGATTGTGTCAAAGCAACTGTAAAGCATTAATTAGGAAAATAGTGTGTCAATAATGCAAAATGACAATAGTAAACACTCAATATTCAGTTATAGGCAGTTCATCATTGAATTCAGTGATGTCAACATCCAGCTCAGTTCAGTTTAAATAGTATCTGTGCAATCAAGTCAACGATATTGCTGGAAATTAAGTGTCCCCAACTAAGCAAGCCAGAGGCGACAGCGGCAAGGAATCACTATAGTTGAACTATGGTCACTTTAGTAAAACCATGGTTCATTTTCATAAGGGACTGCCAGTGACAGGCTGTTGCATACATAAAATGCAACTTTTTTTATTTTGACAGTGTATGATTTATATTAACATTACAGAATAGAACATGATCAATATGATCTTTCAACGTTCAATTTAAATAAATGTAATTGCACAAATTATGTAGGCTACAATTTCAGTTTGTTTCTTGTGAAATAACTCAAACATATATGTTTTTTTCTGTCCTCTGATAAGCATTGTTCTGGGCTGCCGTTCCCAAAATCATCAATGCTTTCTTACGATATTTTGGGAAACGCAGCTCTGTTTGAATGCACTGTCAGAAGTGAGTAAATCTTGAAGAGTTGTTCCAAACCGTAGTGCTCAAAACTGGCCACTTCAAAGAGCCCTTCGGAATGAAGGATTTCGAGGGGTACAACTGATGGACACTTCGGGCTCCTATCATCCTTTGCACAGATTAGGCTTGTTTGAGATGAGCAAAATCTGCACAGAACCGATCAACGGTGATCATCGCGAGATGCATGCCGGTTAGAAATAGGCTTGTTTGAGATGTGCCTCGCCTCGCCTGAAATGTAGGTGAGAGTAGGCCGCTGCAGTGAGGGGAGGAGTGAAATAAGCAGTCAAGACGGACAGTTCTGACCTCTGGAAGTGGAACAGATACCAACGAGTTCAAAGGCGGATATCGCGTTATTCTCACTCACCTGCTGTGTTGCTGATAAACATGATATGATGTCAGTTCTGTTCCTTTTATATGAAAATAAATATGATGAACAAGACACTCAAAATGCTTGCTATTTAATTCCATACTAAAGGCGTATTCATCATCCATTTTTACTTTAATACAAACAAGTATTTTAGATTTTTATAAAAATATGACAACAATCACATATCTCACACAGAGATCGCACTGTCATCGTGTTTGGGAATATTCATGCATAATTTAAATACATAATCACATGAAATCAGATAAAAATAAAACATTTTTGAAGAGAAGGCAGCATCACGGTTGTCTGAACCAATGAACATTAAGCCGTGTCGTCAGTCAGTCGTTTCCCATCATGCTTTTGATCAGCGCAGTCGGTGGAGAGCAACTGCGCTCGACTGCACAATCTGACACAGCTGCCTCGCCTAAACGTCTTCTTTCCTGTTGCCAAACTTTCTACTTTCTAGACCTACTTTCTCTTGAATATGATGAAAGTATCTACCTTTCGTTCCACTATCCCACTCCTTCGGCCATTTCTTTCTTATTTCATTTGCAATTAACCCTTTTAATATTTTATATTAAGTATGGGGCTATGTTATATGTATTTTATAGTTTTTAGTTGTTGTGTTAAATCTTTTTTTTATTATTTTATTTAATTATTTCATTTACTTTATATTTTATATTAAG